AAGTCCAAGGAGTTCATCGAGACCGAGTCTTCGTCGTCCTCGTCCTCTTCCTCGGAGTCGGACCTGGAGTCGGAGCAGGAGGAGTACCCGCTGTCCAAGGCTCAGGCGACCACGGGCTCCGCCACCTCCGCAGGCGGTGACCAGAGACTGAAGGAGGCCGGTGGCGTCCCCGCGGGTGCGGGCCCACGGGCCCCGGTAGGCTCCATCAACGCCAGGACCACCAGCGACATCGCCAAGGAACTGGAGGAGCAGTTCTACACACTGGTTCCCTTCGGCCGCAATGAACTCCTCTCCCCTCTGAAGGACAGTGAGGAGGTCAGGTCTCTCTGGGTCAAAATTGACCTGACTCTGCTGTCCAGGATCCCGGAGCACCTACCCCAGGAGCCAGGGATCCTGAGTGCTCCAGCTGCCAAGGACCCTGAGGTGGCAGCACCTGGCCACGCATTAGACACGACCCCTGAAAAGGCACTGCCGAAGTCCAAGAGGAAACGCAAGGTAGTTGTGGCCCGGCCTGAGGGAGGGGGATTTGGCTGCCCTGTGGAGGAGGGGTGGGTCTGGATTAAAGGTGGTGTAGAGGACAGACCTATCCTCCCAGCACTCAAGAGGCTGAGGCAGGAGGATTGCTGAGAGCTCAAGGTTAGCCTGGGCTACATACAGAGGAGCAAGGCCAGCCTGAACTAAATAGTGAGGCCCTATCTCAAAGAACCGCCCCCCCCAAAAAAAATATATATATTCATGTTAAGGGTAGGTACATATACTTAACTCATCTTAATTCTTTTTATTCCCTTTCCTCTCTTCTCCCTGCCCCCCATCCTCTTTCATTTTCCAAAGATCTGTGTTCCTGTCTCCTATTATCTATCTTCTAATTTGTCTTCTGTAATTATACTTTGGGCTTCTCATACAAGAGCAGTTGTGTAATATTGCAGCTTGTGTGTCTGATTTATTTGCCTAACATTGTGGTCTCAAGGTGCAATCATTTTCCTAAAATATTTCTTTCTTTATGGTAGAGTAGTACTCCTTTTCAGTTTTACAACTGAGCCCTCTTTCACTGCATGGGGGAAAAGTCACGAACAGGGAATGTTTATTGTATGCAGGCACAAGCTGAGTGGTAGGCAGGGTAGCATTGATGGTGGAATCACTTGACCACCTAGGCAGCTAATGCCCTGGTGAAGTTTCAGGCTGGTTGGTGGAAGGTGAATACCGGTGTCTCTGAGCCCCAGCACAATCTGCAGCATTGGACCTGTTGCTGAGATGTTGGGTTGATTGGGAGGATGCTGAGGTGCAGAGGGCCGAGAACAGGGTTCTGGGAGGAGGGACATTTGAGTAAGCAGAGGCCCTGGGAGGAAGTGGTACCAGGAGAAATGAGCAGGCTGAACTAGTGAGGCCCAAGTGGGAAAGGCAGGTCATGTAGAGGGAGAGCCTCTGGCTGCCCCTGCTGGACCCTCAGCCAGGTCTGCAGGGGACACCGGCATCATCTCGGGATTTTCTCTCCTCCTGTTGCTGCATCTTCAAAAATAACTTGGACCACAGTGAGAAACTAAAGACTGCAGTATTTATTAGTGGTTCCAAATTTAGGACAAAGTCATTACCAAGAACAGTGAACGTTCATACACAAGGTATGATCAAACAATACAGTGAATGCTTACATTTCATAAAGTTACTACAGTAAAAGACACATTGTCATTAGCTCTCCTCAAAATCCTCTCCTCAATTTGAAAACATCCCATCATTCTGGCCTCTTTATGAAGCAGTTCTGGAAGTCCTCTTTCTTGTGTTTAGTTGCGCTGTCCTGGCTGCCTCAGTGTCCTGAATTGATTTAAAATATTTCCCTTTTAAGGTCATTTGACTTTGGGGAAGAACCATAAGTCACACAGCGCCAGAACCAATGAATAAGTTGATCAGGACACACTGTCATGTTTTAACAGAAATTGCTATAAACTTTCTGTAATGTTCCTAATGACTTTATTCACAACAGTTAAAAACAAACATTTTGAACCTTAAGTGACTGGCCCAGGTTATGTTGCCAAAGAGAGAGCCAGGAATGAACATAGACAGCTAGCTCTCTAGCCCGAGTTTGCAGTAAGTCATCAGCTGTCTCAAATTCTTGTTTAAGGAGAAGGCATATGGTCTCCCATCTTAATGACCTATAGGGCACCCAGTAGCAGGTAAATTTATTATGAAATGTCCTAGAATGTGTTCTTCACATAGTACACTTAATTTATCCCTATAAAGTAGAATTTGAACCCCTTTCAAGTTCATGAAAAAAATAGCTTCAGAAAAGCAGCTGCTTGCCTTTCCTGTTGGTAAGGATGTGAAGATGATTTTGTCAACAGACGCTAGTATAGTTTCCGTTCACCTTTGGCCATTACTTTTCAGCACCCCACTCCCACCCCACACTGGACCCTCCTTGCCCTGAGGGTAGTCTTGTAGAGTGGAAAGTTTGAGGGTTTTGACCTCACTGACCTGACCTTTCATCCTTTTTTTACCATTTTATGGCTCTGAGACTAGCTCCCTGGGCCCTGGACCTCCTGCACAGCCATGCAGGGTGGTGGAGTATAGCGCTGTGGCTGCTATCTTGAAACTCTTCATTTTGTTTTGTTAGTGATGTAGCAGGTGTGTTCTGCTCCTCCTACAGGAGAGCTAAGTCTGCTTTTTGGCCCCTGGCACCCCCAGTCCCATGCAGCCACCCCCTTCCCCCATCTTAGTCCAGGGACCACTTAGCCTTTGCCCCTAAAAGTTCTGCACATGCAGCACTAGAAAAGCCAAGGTTGGGGTTCCCATTCTGCCCAGCCCCAGTCCATGTAGTGAGGCTTTCAGAGAGGAGATTGCACACTCCTGGGTCTTTCACCATGGGTTGATGAGCACATGGGAAGGGAAAATGCCTAATGGGACTTTCCACCCAGGCCAGCCTAGTGGCAGGTAGGTCCCACAATGGTGGAAGGTGGAACCCAATGCTGTTGGGCTTCACGTGTGCACTAATTCTGGGGCTGGCCCAGCTTTTGAGTCTTCATTGCCTTCCCAAAGGATCCCCACATGTAAAGGAACATGGCATGAAATAGCAAATAAACACCACTGTTATAGGTCAAAGGGGGAGATTATGAAGTGTCTTCTAATTGATTACTTTAAAAAGTCATATATTGGCTCATTTCTTCCCTGCCCCTTTCTTCCTGTCTTCCCCTGAACACCTCCCCATTCCTCATTACTTGTTGGTGCTCAATTATTATTATTATTATTTTTTTTTTTGGTACTGGGAATTGAACTCAGGTCCTTGCACTTGCAAGGCAGGCCACCGAACCCCTGAGCTAAATACCCGGCCCTATCAATTTTTGTAGAATGAATCAATCATCTAGGGAAGCATGTGAATAGTAACCTGAAGTTGGTGAATAAATTGGTAAGCTACATAAGCAGTACCTGGAGGTAGATATTAGTGGGCATATAGATTGGAAATATGTATGGCTATATAGACATACATGGGTATAGAGAGAGACATACATGTAGACATAGATAAGTACATAGAAAAACATACATACAGACTTATATACAGTAGGTATACAAGAATGACATACATATAAAGCTCATAATGCTCTGCATTTAAAGAGTTGTATTATTCATGGCCTTTTTTAACACAAAGAATTTCATTTACACTAAACCTGATATCAGCAAAACTCATAAGACCTAATGAGACCACAGAAAAAAGGAAAGGACGTTTTCATTCCACATTCTGAGTATTTAGGACCCAGTATTGGGTGCTAGAGGTGGAACCCCTAGACCTGCTCTCCAAGCTGCCAGGTCTCACCCTGCTGGAGTCCTGTAGAGTGACTGGGAAGTCCATACAGTGCCTGGGACATTTGAAATGGACCCTTCCTGGGGCCACTGTTGCAGTGTAAGCATCCAGGACCCCATGAGGTAGGAGCTTTGTGACACAATCCCTGCTGGAAAGAAAAAGTTGCATGGTGGTGCATGTCTGCAGTCATAGCACTCTGGGAGGCTGAGGCAAGACAGTCACCTCAGTTCAATCCCAGCGTGGGCAACTTAGCATCTTTGCAAGACACTGTCTCAAAATTCAAAAGAGGACTAATGATGTAGCTTAGTGCAGAGGCTTTGGTCCATACCCAGTACCAAACAAATGAACAAAAGTACAATCCGAGTCCTATCTTATCATAAGGTACCTTAATGATTGATTCTAAGATGTCAGGGGCTGGGAATTCTGCAAAGAGCTAAGGCACCAAGGCTTAACAGTCTGTGCCTTCCATTCACAAAAGGCAGAACTTTCAGAACAGAAAGACCCGGGCTTGCCCAGAGAATATGTGCTTTTCATACCTCAGTCTGATGCCCGGAAGTGCCCAGAGCAGTGATGCAGAGGCAACAGCTTGAATTAAAACAGGTCTGCTCTAGGACCAAATCCCGGGCAGCTACATCATTCACATATCCCTCCACGTCTTGGTCAGGGCATCACTGTGCCTCTCACATTAAGCTGTGGGCAGCATATCCCACAGATTTCCTCCTGCTTCCTTGAGGAGCTCATGGGGACCCCATTCCAGGAGCTTAGCAGGGAGGACTGGCTCTGGAGATCGGAGTCCTGGGGCTCACTGTAACCCCTTGAAATCTAGAGCTGATTGGGTTTTGCTCGTCCTCACCCAGTGTGACAATGAAGATGAAGACCGGGAGTTGAAGAAGGCCCAGGGAGAGAAAGAAAGCTCTTCACGACTGGCCACCTCTGCCAATAATACCTCGTCTGCAAACCACTGCAATATGAACATCAACAGGTATGCGCATTCCCTGGGAGGTGAGGAAGAGCTGGAGGGGCCCCGGGTCTGAAAGCCTATTCCATACTGGGGCATGATCTGATCTTTTGATGACTTTTCAGTCCAAGTTGGAAGACTTGCTTCCCTAAAGCTTATAACTATGGAGTATTATATCTCCCTGTGGCCACTCAGGCCCTTTTCTGTAACCAAATTCCAGTTACAAGAGACACACAGTTCTGCACTCCCCAAAAACTTAATGACCAGATTTTCAAGCCAATATTGTGAAGGTAGCTGCTAAACCCATGAGCACATTAAGCTCACTGCGGATGCACAACTGCACAAGAGTGGAGTCTCCAGGTGATGCCCTGATGAGGTGAGCTTTTGATGCAGAGTTAGAGAAGATGTGTGCTTCCAAAGTAAAGCAGCCACCCATCCCCTCCTCTGAAGATGGGGTCCCGGTGCCTCACCATGAACCACACCCACTGTGATGAATGATGTTGTGGTCAGGCAAGGTCCCAGGGAGGTGTCATGAGTGGCCTAACATCAGTCATGGATGCTCTTTCCATTTAGAAGCACCTCCACACAGAAGCCACTCTTCCTCTGCCGTGACACTTCTCACTCTCGCCGGTGTACATACAGGGCTCTTAAGGAGAGATTAATGTTTCTGAGCAACACATAAAAATGTAAATGGAAAGGTTAGGAAAAGATGTAGAGCAGTACTAAAAGTCAGAGAGGAAATTGGAGCACAAGGGTACGAGCACATGGGCCCATGGCAGCCCTGGGGTCACCTTGGGAAGGAAGGAGGCCAGGACACAGAAGGGCAGCACAGGAGGGACAGTCAGTCCTGCAGACCAGCCCCACTGCAAGCCTCTGTGTAGAAAGTATGGCATCCCCAATTATGGGGAAAACATGAATGGGGACATTGTGGCCCCACAGTGGTTTTAAATGAGTGGTATGGTTATATGTGTGCTTCTTTGTTAATGCATTTCATAATCTAGCCAGTCTATACCAATGACCAGAATTGCTAAGTAGCAATGAAAGTAAACAGTGTGTTTCAAAATGCCTGTAACAACTGTGGTATGAAATGAAAATATCTCTGATATGCACCAGAGATGTAATCACAGATCTTGCTAATATGATTCCAGTTTAACCATTCCTCTGCTTTCTTGTGCTCCCTTGTAATTGCAGGAAATGTTCTTTAGAGAGAAAATGAAGAGGTCAGTTTCTCCCACCCAGGTGCACAGACCTCAGATTAAAAATACTTCTCGTGGCAGAGTCTCCCAACTCTGAGAGTTTTGCTTAAGTTATGTGATCAATCAGTGCATGTGAAAAATGTGTCAAGAGTTCCTTCTGGGAACTGTGCCTTTTTCTGGTCCCTGTGCCTCTGGAATTGTGAGTGCTGAGGCAGCTTTACCAGAGTGACAACACAACCCCAGAGAGGAAGGGATGATCTGTCAGATAGTTTTCTGTGGTCAACTTGAATATGTAAACTTGCAATGATGTGGAGGGAACAATCATATATTCATAACAATATTTAATGTCATAATTGGTTTTCCATGCACAGTAAAAATTATGAATCATGTAAAATGACAGACACTGAGAAGTAGGTCTTTTTCAGTCACATTTTAAGCAACAGAGTCAGGCTCTTCACATCTGCCTTCAGCATCGGTGTCTTTACCATCAGAAGATGAGCTACTTTGGATTCACACCAAGTGGTTTCTGTAGCACATCTCCTTGCTTTTTTCCAAGTTGTTAGACACACAGTGCTCTTGGAACCAGAAACCCTATCCCCACATGTATCTATTTGCATAACATTAAGAATCTTGGCTTTGTCATTTGTTCTAGAGGTCTGTGTTTGTAATTTCTCCACTGTGACCACTAGCTAAGGAAATTGCTTTTTGAAGTGACTTTAGTGGCTTGTTTGCAGTGATAACTGACACCTACAATTAAGAGATCGTAACCCCAGGAATAATGATCAAATCTTTGCTAAGTGGATTTACTTCTCTTTGTAAACTGACTGTATCAGGTGACCTCTAGAAACATCTTAAGTTAGCAGCAACTGAGTTTACATCTGTTTAATGTGTCTGCCCCAAACACTACTTTTTTTCGCCTGAAAGTAAAGTAATTGAGCAAAACTTAACAATATAATATTTATTGCAGAAACTTACAAATAAGGGAATCCATCTTCTCTGATTATTGATTTTGGAGGATATTATATGCATGAGTAAATAATTTTGAAGGTAAAATGAGCTAAGGAATCAGACATAGTCATTTCTAATAACAGTTTCTATATTCTGTATTTATTCTGATTAGTTTAGCTACATCAGAAACCCAACAATTGACAGTTGGCTACATACTTTGCAGGTTATACTGTGATTCTGTTATTGTCTATATAACAGTTAGGATAAGCTCAAATATTGGCAAAAGTCCTTTTAAAAATGGAAAACTCATTTATCATTGTTGTTTTGAATTTCCCATTACTTGCTGCTTATTCTTGTTAGGAAAAGAAATATGTTTGTTAATTTGAAGTCCTTGGATGAAAAACCCAGAATATGAAAATATTATATTATTCTCAGTCATTTCTTTTGACACTAACTCCAGAATTACTGTTCATCCTGATAGTAAGAGTAAAGAAACAAAAAATTAGATTTGCTTATTGTTATGGTCCTAATGCCATTAAGTTGTTCCTAATAATAATTCCCAATAAATTTTTCCTACCAGCAGATCTTAAATGGGAGGTTTGGGCTATATATAAAACATTTACCTTTCTCTGTGCTACCATGTGATACTCTGTTACTATAATTTTCTTTTTTCTCAGCTTGGCAATACCAGTAAATAAAAATGAAAAAATGCTCCGGTCACCCATATCTCCCCTCTCCGATGTGTCTAAACACAAATATTCCAGCGAGGACTTAACCTCTTCCAGCCGACCTCATGGCAATGGTGTGTTCACTTCCTCTTCTTCCAACAGAAAGCCTAAGGCTGACAGCCAGCTGCAGTCACATGCCGGTGACCTCACGGTTCGTTGATACTCTTCCTTTCTCAAGTAGAATCAAAATAAATTACCATCCTCACTTCTATCTCTGGCTGGGTGGTCCAAACTCAGGTTGGAGGTCCTGCAGGAAACCCCAAAGGCAGCTTCTGGAGGGATCTAGAGGAGAGGACTTCTCCACCTCCCCACAGAGGACAGAGGGAGGAAGAACCCACAGAAGGGGAACGCCAAGCCTCCTGGCAGGATTTCAGAGCCCAAAGCAGCACTATCCCAGGGGGAAGCAAATTGGGAGTTTCTAACAAACCATCCTTCATATTGGGAAAAAGCCTGTACCCTATGGTAGTTAAAGTTGAGGCTGAACCCCACACCAAATACAGGGGGCTCCCCCTCCACGCTCGTTAACAGGTACAGTGGCCACAGTGGGAATCCCTTTGCCATCCCTCTCCAGCATTCTCAGGGCCAATTCCAGTACTCCCCTGGGAGGGCGGACAGTCATAGCTAGGCTGAGTTTGTAGTGCACCTGCTGTCCTAGCTGCAGGGTGAATTTGGGCGGCTTGCTGAATCTCTCTGAGCCCACTTCTTTATCTGCAAGTGGTAGTAATAAGACTGAAAGCCAGCATTCTCTAAAGACCCAGACCCTCTGAAAGCCTCTGCAGTCAGCGTGATATGTGTGTGTGCTCCCCTACTGCATGCTCACCTCGTGGCCCCGGACCACCCATCCCCTGAGAGGCATTCTTTGAGCCCAGGCCCCCTCTGAGTTCTGCCAGGTCACTGTGCCCATAAAACCCAGTTGGGCTTTGTGAAGCTGGCGGAGAGATGGCATTTGAGGACCAGACTTGGCAGAGAAAGGCACAAGAGAGACACAGTACTTAATGTGTTAGCCCATGAGTTAAAGATGCAAGAGAGTTGGCAGAAGGTCACACAAGACCCTAAATCTTAGCACTTCCCAGAAACTTAAGCTTCTGTACCCTCATTAAAAAGCAACTGTCTTTAATTCTAGGCTAAAAGAATCTGGAAAGCCTGCATTAGAAAAATGTGGAATAAAAAATTGCCCAGAAATATAAAACAAAACTTTTTTGGGTGGTTGTAGTTTGAGACAGGGTCCCGCTATGCAGTTTAGGCTGACCTTGAACTCACTGTGTAGACCAGGCTGGCCTAGTACTCATGGTGATCCTCCTGCCCTCAGCCTCCTAAATGCTGAGATTACAGGCATGCACCACCAGTTATGTAAACCACTTTAACAAAACTTTTCTTTGCCTCTAAATCCCTTATATCATAAACAACTATGATATTTAAAGAATTTTAAGTCACTAACTGATTTTATTTAGTAATTCAACCACCACTTACTGAGCTGGTCCTTATGTACCAGGCTCTGCTGAGTATGCAGCATACAGTGATGGTCCAGCAGCTTCTGTCCGTGCTACAGGAAGCTCGAAGTCTAATGGGGAGAGAGCCTGAGGCAGGGCATCATACACACCACAGTTATATTAATAATCATGGCCAAAAAGGAAAAAGAGAATTTGGAGTTTTTATAACAAAGTGGCTTAATCTGGTGCTGGGAGCAGCAAATTTTTTTCTGCAAAACAGGATTTCTCAACACTATTGGCATTCTGGGCAGGGTAACTCACTGTTTTACCTAGCCACATCCCTGGCCCTCCCAGTTGCAATGACCAAAAATATCTCCAGATATTACTAGATTGCCCCCAGTCGAGAATTGCTGCTTAAAAGGTCAGATAAGACTAATCACAGGCCAGTGGGCTGGGCTGTCCTAGCTACTCAGCTCTGTCATCATAAAGCAAACATAGCCCTTGTCATCAGTGACAGGTAAACAAATAGGCATGATTGGTTTCCAGTAAGACTTCATTTCCAGAAAGGACCAGGCTCAATCCACAGACCATAGGAGGCTGACCCTTGGATGTGAGCTCTCTAAAAGGCAAGGAGCAGTGTATCACAAGGTAAAGTGCATGGTTGGCTACAGAAATAGAACATGCAAAGGCCCTGGGGAAGAAGTGAAAGTTGGCCATGACTCTGAGGAACAAAGAGCATAGAGCAGCAGGAGGAAGGTCAGGCCAGCCTTGCAGGTTAGAGGCCACTTTGCTGGTTTTTCTTCTTTTACCAAGTGGGTACCATTGAAGGAGTTTAAGAACAGACTCAGAAATCTAGCATCTGGTTTTCTGGTCATATGTAATGATAGAACTGTTAAGCACAAAACTGCTCCATATTTACATACACATTTATATACATGTAGTTACTTTAGAGGAAGCAATTTCATAACCAAAGACAACTGTTTGATGATCTGTGTGTTCACACACAGTAGGTGCTGTGTACATATTTATATTTTGCATAATTCCTAGTGATTCTCTTTGGCTTCTTCTGTTATTCACAAACAGCTCCTGAGATCCCATGCTTTGTGTCCTGAACGACTTCTCTTCTGTGAGGGACAGTTATAGCCAGGCTTGTTTGCTGGGCCAGTGGCATCAGTGCCACTTGGGAACTTGGTAGAAAAATAGATTCTCAGGCCCATCACAGCCTGCTACAACAGAAACTTTCAGAGTGGACCCAGCAGACTGTAATCTCTTCCACATCATCCTGACATGTGCTTAACTTGGCTGGACATTGGTCTTGCAGACTGGGAAAAGAAAGGACCTGAACCTTAGTCCTGAGCCTCCCACATAGTAGCTATTGGAACCTGAACAAGTTAATCTCAAGTTTCCCCTTCTGTGAAAATGAGCATTTTAAGACTTTCCTTTTGATATTTATGTGTAAATGATACTGAACAACAGATGCCTTCAGGCCTAGAATGCATGAACAAGTTCAAGTTGATCATCTCTAACCCAAAAATGCTCCAAAATCTAACACTTGTTTAGCACTCATATGTTCATTCAGGCAGAAAATTCTACAGCTGACCATGTGACAAGTCACAGTCAAAAAGCACAAGATTATTAAAACTATTGTAGAAAATTACCTCAGGCCATGTATATAAGGTATATACAAAACATAGATGAATTTGGTGTCTAGATTTGGGTTCCACTACCAAGATATCTCATTATATATATGCAAATACAGTGGTGCCTCAGTTCATGAACTTAATTTGTTCTATAATATTGGAAAACATGGCCACATTTGTGTTTGTTTGGGAAAGACTGCTGCACTTGTGTTTGTCACCAGATGCAGAGAGTTTTCAAACAAAAGCAAAATTTTGCCAAACATTTCTGTTTTTGAACCAAACTGTTGTCAAACAAAAACATTCGTGAACTGAGGCACCACTCTGTTCCAGAATTTGAAGAAAAAAAATCCCAAATCCAAACACTTCTGGTCCCCAGCATTTCAGATAAGGGATATTTAACCTGTATATCTTTGCATATCTTTTTACTTACTGAGATAAAAATCTTCATCAATTCTAATATAGAACACAAAGTATTGTAGTGAAGAAAAGCTGCTATATAGTTAGCGGCTTGCTCTTTCAGCCAGGAAGGCAGTGTCTCAAAGACTTCTGTGTTTTTGTTGTTTAGAAAACAGCTCACAGCTCTGAAAATGGTGTCCTCCACAGCAAGTCACGACCACAGACAGAGCCCTGGTCTCCAGGCTCCAATGGCCACAGAGACTGCAAGAGACAGAAACTGGTCTTCGACGATATGTGAGTTTGGACTCTCTTTTTACATGGGAGGGGCACATCAAAGTGGACATTCCACAGGTAGACAGGTCATAGGTGTCTAAGGGTGTGACCATTTTCTCTTGCATGACTTGTCATTTAAATGTCCCTCTCAAATGGACTTTTAGCTTTGTATATGCCCTAAGCTCTGCTGAGGATTTTTTGAACAGATGAAAGCACCAAATGCTAATGGGTTTGCACCTAGAACATCAGAAAGCTAAAGGAAACAACACTAATTCTAAGCATCTGTTTTGTGCTCTATGAGTGGTGTTAGGCTACCAGAAAGAGAAGCATTTTTATTTTTATAAATTATAATCAGCAAAGAATCATAGTTATTAACTCCTGAAATTTTTCCTCCAAAATTTTATATCCTTTATAACAGTATAAATGATTTGTATACAGGAAAAATTATCTCATCATCCTTCCCTGGATTCTAGCTCTGAAACTCAAGTGTAGATTACAATTTCCAGCATCAATTTCAAAATAAAAGAAATGAGAACAAGAGGAATAAAAAGAACGTCCTGCCCTCGAGAGGCTGAACTAAAAATTATTTAAACTCCTAGAGAAGAAATTGGTGTCAAGAACAAGCCCAGAAGGTAGAAGATGGAGTTTCTAGGTTAAATCCTGTTTTCGGCTGTGGGTGTACTGGGAAGGCCTGGAGTGCTTATCTGTATGAGGTAGGGAGAGTAAAATCCTGAGGTGGAGCTGCATCCAACTGTAAGAGCTCCTATCCTCTGGTTGGCAGAGGCTCAAGTTAGAAAATAAAACAATTGTTCAGGTGTCCCAAGTCCCACCTTCCTTCTCAAAAGAAAGTAGCAGAGACAATGCCATCCATCCCTCTTGAGGGGCTCCTGAAGTCCAGTCAGATGGCATCTCAGAGGGGAAGCACCGGGGGAATGTAGAGGCATGAGGGCTGCTATCCTCATCTGGCACAGAGCCATGTGGTGGAAGGGCGGGGCTGGGGAGCTGCTCATCTCACAGCAGACAGGAAGCAGAGTGAAGGGAGGAGCTAGGGAGGGAGGTACATCCTTGCAGCCACACTCAGTGACCGCCTCTTCCAACCAGACCCCACCTCCTAACAGCAAGGTAGCTGTGAGCCCCCATTTACCTTCCAAAGGTTCCTACTTGTGATTCCAGGATGCTTCAGAGAACATCAAAATAGAAAACATCTCTCTTGACGTTTTTGAGACTTGAGAATGCTGAGTTGGGCACAGCCCTCAATATAACCTGGATGTCCTTAAGCTAATTAGGGTCCAGAGTTTTGGGAGTTGAAAGGCAAATCCACTTTTTTAAAAATTTCATGTAAGAAACACATTCACAGAATACTTGGTGTCAGTAAGTGGAAGGGAGCCTAGGGACTCAGCTTTCTCCCCTGAAACTCAGCCCTGTTCCACACTGGCTCTCCTCCTGCTCCTTCCACTTCATCCCCTGCTGCTTCCTCCCCACTTTCAGAGCAGAGTGGAAGTGGTCATCAATCTCCAGGGAGGACAGTGAGGGGAGGGCACTCAGTTGGCCAATGACACTTTTATTTAGGGTTGAGTGATCAGAACCATTTCTCTGGACTTTAGACATGTTAGAGTCATTTTGAAGGACAACCTTCTGAAATTTGCATTTGGAAGACATAAGAACGTGATCAAAGAGAAGGAGCATTGGACACTGAGATACTAAAAACACAAAACGCTTGCAGTAGATGGTTTTAGGAGCGCAGTATGTAAAGAAAACATAAGCTGACTATCATTTATGCCGAAAGAAGATGCAAGGAATTTTCCAAGTTGTGGATCAGAAGGCTAAGTTAGAAGTAGCAACAACCAAATGATTGTACTCAGAGCTTCAGTTCTTTGGACTGCTTACAAGAGCAGGGCTGAGGCTAATATAATTTTGTTATTATCTGTGTCAACCAAGAGGCTGTTGTCATTTGCTGTGCCCATGTATAATATGTATAATTTTTTCTGGCGAATAGCTACAATAAGACTATTTCTCCTTTTGTGGCAATAGATCTAATAAAATCAAAACAAGCTTTTATATATCCATCATACGGAGAGAGGGAGATGTTGCGTTCCAATTGCTACTTGTCCAAGTTGATTTGAAATCCCTAATGGTAACATAAACATGAGACTCAGACTGCCGCTGAAACATGGAACTAAGAAAGTCATGGGAAGATTCTTCAAGCTTGAAAAGCAAGCCATACATTGTCTGTTCCTTTAAAATAAGTGTCCCTCAAGAGAGCAGAGTGCCCTAAAATTGTGTAAAATGTTTCCCAGGCTCATGTGATGTGTGCTGAGCACCCACTAAGTATGTGGTATGGTGATGAGAGCATTAAAATAAAATGATTCTCAGCTCTTTGGTGGAGAGAGAGGCATGTGAGACCACTAAAAACCCTCGCTGCCCCCTCCTCCTCCTCCTTCTTGTCCTTCTCAGCTTCCTCCTCTTCCTCCTCCCCTTCACTTCTCCTGTTTCCCTGCCAGCAGCCCCATTGACCAAGGAGGTTCCCAGCCCCTGTCACTTTCCTTGGCATCTCTTCATTGAGGGTGTCAACAAGCACTGAAATGACTGAAGAGAGGTAACAAGTGGAAGAAAAGAGAGGACTAAATAATTATCGCCCCAATCATTTCGACTTGATGGAGATCCAGTCATAGCAGTCTAAAAAGTAACAGATGCCATACTACCATTTAGTTTTTAAAGCCACGTCATGTAGCATTTTTTTAAAGTAAACTCATCTTTTTGTATTATAAATACTTGTTAATGGTTGAATAAACATGCGATTCAGACAGCAGCTGAACCCAGTGGGCTGTCAATAACAAGTACGGAGTGAACACAGCTGAATTGTAAATAACCTTCCCAGGGGGAGTGCTTGGATTGTTTTCTATTGCTATGAAGCTGCATGCAGGTAAATTTAAATTCATGGGCTTCCAAGCCCCTTTCCTATGCTGTTTACCAATTATTTAGGGACTGGTTTGTACCTTTGAGATGCAGGTGGAACCGAATGGAATAACACTTACTTTAAAAATGGGATCCAGGTCAGCTTGTTCTTGGTAAGGTGTATACTCAAATTGGTGGCAGTGTGAATGCACCTCCTCCCCTGACATTTAGCAAATGGGTGACATTCACTACTCAACCACCATGGTATTAAGGTGACAATGGTGTGATTACCAAAGTTTGTTGAAAAATAAACCTGTAGGACTTTATGCAATGAGTGATAGTGCTTGATTCCACTCGAAGCCTGGAAACTGATCCCATGTGTGCAGAGCCATGTGTTCTAAGTCACCTGGCGTCATCATTAGTGACAGGGGAGTCTTTTAAGGACACCAGGGCCGGGAGGACTCAGTGCAGAAGTCCTAAATTCATAGAGCTATGCATGAAATGTTTGGCTGGAGCTCAGGTGCCCGCCTGCCATATTGCCATGTTGGGGAGCCAGGGAGCCCAAGTGCCAGCACTGCCTGCTGCTTCCCAAAGGATGAACCCTCTCTTGAACGACCAGCGCACACACAGCCAAACCACTGAACATTCCCATCTGTCTCCTGGCACCAATAGCAGGAGTCCAGCTCCACAGACCTCCCTGGCCACATGACCACACTGAAGACGGAGGGCCGTGAAATGTGGCTGGGAGAAAAGAATGGGATTTGGCATTTGTAATGTCATTGTGCACAGCAGTCTCCAAGCTAAAAGGATTTTAATTTTATAAACAATGGGAAGATTCCTGTATGTAAAGGTCCAGCTATCTTGCAGCACAACATGATTTAATCAAAGAAAACCAACAGACCCTTGAATGGGTGACCTTACAGCCAGGCAGGGTGTTCTCCTGGGGGGCTTGACGGTGGCCTTGTTCTCATGAGTCTTCTCTTCCCAAGATGATTCCAAGTTTGATCCACCTTTTTGTTTTCCTGGCATACATTATTAAGCCTAAATGTCTGCATAGAGGCCAGGTCCTTACTTTCTCTAAACTAAAACAAAAAGAAAGAGGAAGAAAAAAATGTAGTCAGCTTTGGACAGGGAGAGCAAGGTCATTCAGATCTCCCTGTTGGGAATGCAAGCTCTCTGATCACTTTTAGGATTTGGTAGAATTATTTTATTTTAAATGTCACGCCCAGAGAGAAACAACAATGAAATTGGTCCTCCATTTCAACAGAAAGTTGCTTCTGATTAAATAACAAAAAGCTACCTGGCTTCACCTGTGTGTCCTGGTGAGTATAGGCTGCTCTGTGTGGTGGCAGGATTGTTGCATGAGCTTCTGACAAGCCAGGTTCCAGGAACTCAGGTCCTGTCAACATCAAGGTTGTGGAAACAAAAGCTGCATTAGAATCCTTGCTGACTAAACTCAGTCTTCTTGCAGCCCTGGGTAAGTGTCACAGCATCTCTTCAAGGTCCCTGACTCCAAAATGTTCCATCAGTAGAGATCACTTGGAGCTAAGAGTGTAGCTCAGTGTTTAGCACTTGCCCAGCACACACAGAGCCCTGGATCCCATCTCCAGCACTGCAAAAACAAAAATAAGTCATTCAGTGGATGGGAAAGGATTCTTCAATTTTTCACATGTTCTCCTTTTGGAGAAAGCTTAGAGTTTGGGACACAGTCATACTTTGGGGCTCATCCAGCGTGGTCAGATGGTAAGTTCATTTAGGATGTACAGCCCCTGTCTGCTTTGGGTTTTGGTTTCCCTAAGAAAGCTGTCCAGATTTCTGCCATGTCAAGAAACCTGCCTGTTCAAACACAGCGCACTCTGCTCCCTGCCAGCTTGCCGGAAACAGGCTGGCACTATGTGGGCACCGTTTCACAGAGGCAGAATTACAGCCAGGAGCCAGCCTGCCTGCCAGCCTCTCCACAGGGGACCATTCAAAACTGCACAGCCACAGAAAAGAACAAAGAGCAAGGTTGCTTCAGTAGTCCTCTGTTGGAAGAAATAAGGGGTACTGACACCCTGTTGCTGCTCAAATCCTACCATGTGTTTGTAGGAGGAGGTGGAAGGAGGCTAAGGAGAAGAAAAGAAACACTCAAAAGGATGTTTGGATCAGTATTTAGCTCACTTTTGTTTCAGAGAGTTCTTGTCACAAGGGTACATGTGGCTACATTGTGTCTTTTAGATTGCTCTAGCCCCTTTCTCAAGAATATGAGATCTACAGCTATGTATATTTATAATGTTATATTTATAATGATTATACTTATAATGTTTAATTGAACTTCGTTAGGCTTGCTGGGAATCATCATAAAATAGCATACAAAAAGTTTTGTATTAAAAAATGGAAGATTAGATGAAAATCTGAACACTGAGATAAGTAGACTTTACTTTCATACCTTTTCTGTGTGAGACTTTGTAAGTATCAGAGTATGGTGTCAATTTTGCTTTTCCTGTGGGCTTGCATATTTCTGTGCATTGTCAGCCATGCTGGACAATCAGGTTGACGTTCCCTGATCCCCAGTGGATTTGTAATGTCTTATCTAGGAGTATGGCCCCAGAAATCACCTGAAAGGAGAAAATGGGCCAATCATCAAGTAATCTTCAGTGGCTCAGTATAGGGAGCCCTCCATTATATGCAAAATGAGAATTCTAAGAAATGTGTCCATAAGTGGCCCCTTTTCTTTCAGCGATGGAGGTTATTATTGTAGCTGCCAGGATACAGTCAGAAAATTATCCACATGCACTACTGTGAGTTTGTGACTCATCCTCCATATCGGGCTTTTAAAAATGCATTTATATGCTGCAGATAAAAATGGTATTGATTACAGAACCCATATTAGGGATTATGAACCACCCCCATCCATAAGGGTAAATCAGAAGGCTGGTGGAAACTAAAATACCATAGCTTATAACCAACAGAAGCCTTTCATGAGAATGAAATGCATTTGAAATGACAATCTGTTAGTGACAAGGTCTACAAAACAGAGCAAGAAGAAAATGGCCAAACTTATACACTTGAGTGCAGAGCAGATGATGCAGAGCATTTCGAGTTGCCGTGGAGACACTCTCTGGCTCATTGGCTGTGGTGCTGTACCCCTTCAGAAGGGACCACCACTCTTTTCTGAGCTCAAATCCAGCACTATCCCCACTTTGTCAGGTGCCTAAGTAAAACTGCAGGGTGGGGAAGACCAAAGAGGTCTGCAGCGTGCTGAAAGTTCAGTTACTGTACCCTGGTGCAGCTTAGAAGGTAACTAAAAGACCTTGTAGTCTAGGCTTTGTAGTGTAAACAAGAAGTGCTGTGGAAGACCGGGAAACACAGAGATGCACTTGGACCAAATTTATGAGTTAGGCCTGAAGATAGAGTTTGAGAGGCAGAAACATTTGCCTCATTGTAGACCTTCAGCCTTCAGAAAATGAGCAGAGAGCAAAAGGTTCCAAGCAGCAGGGAGGGCTGAGCAGAGCTGGGGAGACAAGGATGGCAAGCCATCATCAGGAGGAAGTCAGCCCGGACTTTGGTTGAGGGCCATAGTTACGAAGTGATGTGGTAGAGAGAGTGAGCGGTGAGGTCTCTGCCTCTCCTTTGGAATGTGAAGTAAATACAGAGGGTTTGAGGGCAATGAAAATGTTCTGTGATACTGTAATGGTGAAGACATGTCATTATATAGTTGTCCAAACCCATAAAATATACAGCACCAACTATGAACTTTCAATAGTGATTGTCAATGTAGATTCATCCATTGTATAAAAATAAAGCACCCCTCTAGTTCAGGATGTGTACACTTGGTGCAGAGGGTATATGAGGAGCCTCTGTGCTTTTTGTTCACTTTTGCTGTGAACCTGAAACTGCTCTATAGCATAAAGTTTATTTGAAAATAGACACAAAAGAGCAGTAACTGCAACAAAAATTGGCAGAGTTGAAATCAAAGACCAAACAGTCACTCTGTAGACAAAAGCTTAATATGTAGCCAAAGAAGGAAGAGTGCAAAGCCATTCCAGGTAGGAGGTATGGGTGTGTGGAAGAGGAGCTACAGAAAGCAGAGCTCACTGGAGCAGCACCATCCTATAAAGGAAACCTCTGGCCTTACCCACCAGTGACAGACACACCAAGAGGAATGAGCAGGAACCAAGGCGGGTAGGGTCTACACATTAAGGAAATTCTGCAGCTGTGTTGTCACTTGGCTGTTGTGACAAGCTAACTTGCTACCACAGTACTGACAATATTATATAGAGATACAAGGGACAGAAAACCAGGTGCTTTTGTGCTTCAGTGATTTTTTTTTTTTTGGACCCAAAACTGTTTGCTATGATTCTGACTTTTATTGATGATTGCACTGTTATAAGGGACAGAAAACCAGGTGCTTTTGTGCTTCAGTGATTTTTTTTTTTTGGACCCAAAACTGTTTGCTATGATTCTGACTTTTATTGATGATTGCACTGTTTTAATCAATCGGTGTTCATTGTTGCAGTATGCATCATTTCTCTAAGTAGTTTGGCCTCTTAGGGTAAGGGGATACTCTGGCTAATATTACAGTAAGGAAAAGACCCATTAGCACCTGAAGCAAGACAGTTCATATGAAGCGTATCACAATCAGCTATCCAGTTCATGACTCATGTCGCTGCTTGTGTTATATCTCCCATTCTGGCAGTTCTGGCTTATATTTGATGTTCACAAATAGGTCAGTTTTATTGATTACATAAAGACCCATAATTTTAAAAAAAAAATAGTTTGAAGCCAGGAATTTAGCTCAGTGGTGTCACGCCTGCCTCGCAAGTACAAGGTCCTGAGTTTAGTCTCTGGTAACAAGAAAAAAAAAGCCGTAAAAAAAATTATCTATGCTGATGGCACATAAAAGATGCAAGGTTTTTTTTTTTTTTAATCTATCCAACTAAGCATTTAAAGGTTCTATGGGATGAGTAACTCAGTGTGACCTGGGGTCATTAGCACACTCATATAAGTCTCAGGATGAATTCTCTTCATCTCCCACAAGAATCCAAGCTGGCCAGGGTTATTGCTTTAATAATGCACATGTCTGCTGTTAATGTTTAGCAGCTAGCTAATCAGCGCTCCAGAGAATACATGCCATGTTTGCATTGTTACAAGGTAGACATCATTCTGCAATTAACTTCATTACAACTGGAAAATAATCATACAGCATTAGGTTTTTTTCATTTTTCACTGTGAGGCTTTAAAAATAATTAAATATATACACATACCACTCTAGGTACCATTTATGCATATAAATGACACTTATATTCACAAGGCTATATCAATATTCTCACTCATATTTATCCATGCAATTATTATGAGGTATATTTACAATCTGCACCTTAAAGGAGGATTGTGCAAAATAAGATTTTTCACTTTTTTTTTCTTAACCACACAATAAAGAGGCTGATTCACAAATTAGCCACTGGGGGACCATGTTAAAGCCCTTACAAATGTTGAGTATCTGCATACATTGATGGGTTTTGACTTGCTAACTTAAGAGAAAAATAATTGCAGTATTTTGCATACAGACAATAATTTGGAAAGGCAAAAAAATTTTGATTCTATGTTAAACAGTTTATAAATCATGCTTTTTGTTTGAGTGAAGGAAAAGAATATTTTCAAAAGATCTTGTACTTAAGCAATAATGGCATTTAATATCATTCTCTTCTTGTAGGCCTCGCAGTGCAGATTATTTTATGCAGGAAGCTAAACGAATGAAGCATAAAGCAGATGCAATGGTGAGACCCTTTTCTTTCCAGATATGTTCATCCAAATTATGTTTGTTCTGCCGCTTCATCACTGGGGCAATATAACTGGGGTAATTATAAAATCTATTACAAGGATGGCTGGGCCTGTTAAATGGAGAAATGTTTATATAATCAAGTGCTCATAACCCAATAAATTATGACTTCAACCAATAATGTCTGACTGGGAGAAAGCTCTGGATAAATGAATATTTCAATTGATTCCTAATGTCTAAACAGTAACTAGAGCCAATAGAGTCCGTGGGTGAGTGTTTTTTCCTTAAAAAAAAATCTAGATTTGCATGCTTGCTCTCTTATTTATTAGCTTGGCCAACCCTTGGCTTGGTACCAAGATCAAATCTCTTCAAAAACACTTGTGTTCTTCATATGTATCTGCCAAAACAAATGCTTTTCCTCAGCTGTTCAATACAGAAACTATTATCTGCACATAAAACCATAAAGCCACTATGATTTGATGTTTCCAAAGAATAACTTTTCTTACTTGGATAATCTCCTATTTTGGGAAGCTTGATGATTTCAGGAGAGAAATAGAAAACTTCAGGGTTATTTTTACGAGATCATAAAGTTGTTCCATCTTAAGTTCTCACCTGAAAAGACTCCATCCTACCTGGTAATTCCGGTTTTATTTCCCTTCAGTGTTCATAACTGAGATCACTCGGTATACTGGAGGCATAGAAGGCATGTCCAATGACTCAGAATTTCTTCCAGTGTTGAGGATGCTTAAACCCTAACAATCCCCCTTTCCCAATGTCCCAGTGTCCCCCATCTGATATGAATTTGTACAGAGTCCACTGCCAAGGACACTAGGGTACAAAGGAACTATCCGTAGTCTCAGAAAACAGAAATGAGGAAAAGACACAGCTCTGGCCACACAGTCCCATCTGATGGAGCATTCAGATCCCATGAGAAACTGATGCATGGCCACTATTGGAGAAAAACATCAACTTTTGTCGTTATTGTTGTTGTTCTTGTATTGGATATTGAACCCAAGGTCTTTGCACTGAGCTGCATAGAGAGCCTATTTTTTAATTTTTTGAGTCTAGGTAAGTTGTCCAAGCTGGGCTCAAACTTGGAATTCTCCTAGGTCAGCCTCCCAGAGTGCTGGGATTCCAGGCCTCTACCACTACACCCAGCCCAGCAGAGTGAGATTTTCTGCCCAAATTCATCATCTAAAAATGTACTGGCCCTAGTCAGTCAGTGTCATCTTGTTCCATGCTGCCTTTCCTATCAACTGTTGCCCAAGAGAAAAGTACTGCTCCAGCCAAGAGGGTCTCCTACCAGCCTCTGAGCTTGCTGACACCAGTGGAGATCTTCACACCCACTCACGCTCACACACACTCACTCCCAGGCCCACTTGTACCCTCAGCATCCTTCCCACATGCACCCAGTTCCATCTTCAGCCCTGCATGGAGTCTCCTTCCTGGGGCTTCACAGCCTCTGTGCAGCCCCCTTCCCTCCTCCCTCCTCCCATCTCATTTGTATCAGACCCCTCATTTTGCATTTTGTTAGTCACAAATGCCATGCATGGTGAACTGTTTTGTGGGTGCACATTTTCTCTCTCCAGCAATACTGTAAGTTTCTGGCAAGGAACTTTTGTATATCAAATGCACATGCCTCAGAACTTGAGTGCTTTAGAAAATACTTACAGAATGAAATTATTTCCTTAATCTGAAAGTGTTACCAAAAAAAACTGCTTTGGAGCCTGTTTGATTTATAAGCTGTTTAGGGCCAAGGATTTAGCTCTGTGGTTCCGCTGCCTGCCTCGCAAGCTCAAGGACCCAAGTTCGATCCCTGGTACCAAAAAAAAAAAGTATAAGCTGTTTAAAAATTTGATTTGCTAATGAAGAGCAGTTTGGCTCCATATCTGTTTTCTTACATAGCTTTACTAATGAAGTTGAAGGGAACTTGTTGGCTTATTGTTTTTAATAGGCTTAGAATATTATTTAGAATAAGTGTATCATTCTTTTTTATTAATGAATGAATCATTTGAAAAATGGAGGGATTTCTCAGGTCAAAGTGAGAATATGTAATTACAGAGACTAGCAGTGTATGAAACAAGGAACTTGATGAGTAAGTCTAGATTTATGAAATTTTAAGAATATAAAGCTGATTGATGGTTACCCTGGCTGACATGAGGATACAGTAACAAATTTAAATGACTACAGGTAATCCAAAAATTCATTTTTATTATTGATTTTCAACTTTGTGATCCATTCTGATGAAGCTGAAATGGTACCTTGATTTTTCTCTTCCTCCTTTTCCCTCCTAAGTGAGGTCCTAACTATTAATGACAACAACAGCAAAAACGAGAAGATGAAAGCATGGAGATATAAATGGAAATAATTGTATTAGTGAGATTTCCCATTGCTGGGACACAATACCCAACACCCACAACTTATAGGAGGAAAGGTTTAATTTGGCTCATGGTCTTGGGGAAATCAGTCAAGATCAACTGGCTCCAAGGCAGAACCATCATGATGGAAGGGTATGGCAGGGAGAGCTGCTCACCTCATGGCAGCCAGGAAGCAGCAAAAGAAGGAAGGATCCAGGAAGGGAGAAGCACCCTCCCAAGTCACGCCCCATAACCTACCTCCATCAGCCAGGCGCACCTCCTAAGGGCACATTTAGCTAGGTTTTCACCAGTGAATGGATCAGTCCACTGGTGAGTACATCACTCGCGTGATCCATTCACCTTTTAGAAGCTCCACCTCTGAACATGTAAGACTTCTGGGGAACATTCTTGAGCTGTATCAAAACAGTGAGGTAAAAGATGATAACCAAAGCCTTGAACTAGCAAAGTACTAAGCCACGTATTTACTAAGATATGTTTTCAATTTACAAGCATACTTATGATGAAGGTTAATGCATAAATTAGGCAGGATAAGAGATTAGCAATAATAACTGATAATAAAATAGAGCAATGATAATATGCTGTATAAAGATATTTTAACTTATAAATAGTTGGGCTGGGGATTTGGCTCAGTGGTTCCACCACCTACCTTGCAAGCACAAGGACCCAAATTTGATTCCCAGTACCGAAAAAAACTTATAAATTATTGTAGAATTTTCCATTTAATATTTTTGGACATGACCGACCATGCCTAACTGAAACTTAAATGAGACTGTGGGTTGGGGTAGGGGTGGGGACAGGGGACTATTTCTTCTCTCAGATCCCTTCACAGAATATGGAAAGTCAAAAGTTGGGTTTCTTGAGTTAAGTGTTTAAATTATGTGAAAATGCCATTTAAGACCTGTCATTAAGGAGGACCCTTAATTCTGTTGGTCAGGTGGAAAAGTTTGGAAAGGCTTTGAACTATGCCGAGGCAGCCTTATCATTTATTGAGTGTGGAAACGCAATGGAACAAGGCCCGATGGAGTCCAAATCTCCGTACACCATGTACTCAGAAACAGTGGAGCTCATCAGGTAAGCGGGGCCTCCCGCTCCGGTCATGGGGTATTGCCTACAAGTGGAATCACCGTGAGTGCAAAGGTCAACCTACACCAGCAGTCACCAGAAACCATGTCCATCCCCCCAAAATAGGAGTGGAAGGTTTTACAGCTTTCACTCACTTTGTGAGGCAGGCCCTTGACTGTGACCCCAGGGAGGAAGCTATTACATACCCACTTCCCCCAGCCAGGAAGTGCCAGGGTTTGAACTCATTTTATCTCTAAGATGCTCATTCAGTCCAGAAAAAACAGCAAAATGAAATTTAAAGAGAACAAATATCTGATTTTAGATGAGCCTAAACATGCATATCTCAAAAGAAGACACAAATGGCCAGCAGGTATATAAAAAAGGGCTCAGTGCCACTAATCATATGAGAAATACAAATCAGGGCAACAATGAGATTGCCCCTCACCCCAGTAAGAATATGACGAAGAAACACACACTAGCAAGAAGAAAAGGGAATGTTGGTACACTGTAAAGAGTACAATTTAGTGCAGCCACTATGGAAAAAGAATGGAGACTTCTCAAAAAATTAAAGATAGAACTACCATATGACCTAGCAATTCCACTGTTGGGTATATTTCTAAAGGAAATGAATTCAGTACATCAAAGAGACATCCATATTCCCATGTTCATTATAGCACTATTCATAATAGCTAAGACAGAGAAATGAATTAAGTGTCCAGTGACTGATGAATGGATTAAAATACATCATATGTAATGGAATATTATTCAATCATAAAAAAGAATGAAATCTTGTCATTTGCAGCCTCATGGACTAGAGATTATTATGTAAAGTGAAATTAGCCAGGCACAGAAAGACAAGTACTTACATGATCTCACTCATCTGCATAATATAAAAAAGCTAATTTCACCAAAGTTTACAGTAAAATGGTGGTTACCAGAGGACAGGAAAGGGGACACACTTAACTCAAAACCCCAGTGCATGCCTGAAACCATAGATAATACCAAACCCTAGATACACTGTGGGTTTTCTTTTATGGGGGAGGGATGCCTAAGTAGCCATGTGAAGGTTTACTTTATAAAAGGCACAGTGGGCTAGGGGTGTAGCTCAGCAATGGAGCACTTGCCTAGCATGCCCAAGGTCCTAGGTAAGATTCCCAGCACCACCCAAACATAAAAAAATAAAGTGATCAAAGTAAGAGAACAAAAACAATAGAACTACTATAATAACATACCAAAATAAAACTTCTGTGAATCTGGTGTCTCTTTCTTGCAAGAAAAAGAAAAATGTTAATATTTTTGGACCATGGTCAGCTATAGATGACAATACTAAGGAGAGTGAAACCTTGGATACGGAGGGACCACTGTACCTAAAACTTACCTCCATCTATTAAGTGACAGAATATTTGATGCAAGGAAAAAAGATGCAGCTGAATTTTATAAGATGAGAAGTTATATCCTATAATGTGCCATCTTGGACAGTGCCCCACTGTTCTGATTTCAGCCCTAGACATTAGCCCCATCCTCCCACCTTGGCTGGGACACATGGTCCCAGCAGATCAAAGTTCCAGTAGGGCCCTAGTGTGCTTAGAGGGAGGTCCTGCTCTTCCACAGTGGACACCTGGAAAGACATATCCTTCATTTCTGTCTACAAACCAGTAAGGGAATTCTGCCCATTAGCCCTTCTGCGAACCTTTGTAATACTGTTTATGTTTTTAGCCAGTTTAACTGTGTGGGATAATGTCTAATACTCATTATGTGAAATAATTTTTCCTAAGACTCACATTAAGAGGTTTCTCTAATTCTGCAATCTAAGGCTATTTTTTTTTTACTGTGCCCCACCATTCTACACAGAAAATCTGATTGTCTTAGAGCAGAGTCTTTGGGGTCCACATTGGCCCAAAAAGGCTGTGTGGTATTTTTGACCACCATCTTTCAAGCCATAGTTTCAAGCTTTTGAAACTCTCATCCTAACACCAGAGACCTTCAGACACCATTTCTCAAGGTTACTTTGAAGGTCAATTCTGCCTAGCCACTTTTCTCATTAAAATAATTCTACTAAATCAATGTGTTGCTAATGCCTTCGTACTGTCTTCTCATATTGGGTAATATTTTCAGTGGTAAAGCAAACAACAGAGTAAAAATCTGTTAAAATTACTGTAAGAGACACTACATCTTCTCATCCTTTCCATAGCCTCAGTTGCCTACAGGTGACCAGGAAAGAAATTGGGTGAATCTGGACAGGTGCAAAGCAAGAAAATAACCTAGAATGTGGGATTTTGTTGTTGTTTGGTCTGATATTTTCATTGTTGCATCCCCAGCCCCTAGAACAGAGCATGATACAGAGTATGTGCTCACTAAAAACTTGAGTAATGGACCAACACAAGCCATAGGGCCTGCTGTGAACTATCAGTTGCTTGCTTACAGGCATTCATACTTTAAAGGGAACAAACATCCTAAAGAAAAAAATAGCCAGATGCCAGCAGATACCCCTGGGGTATAGTTGTGCCTAGAGGAAAGAAGCCTCTCACAGGTAGAGAATGCAGAATGAATGGGCTCCCCTGAACTACCAGGAAACTAAGTGAAAAAGAGTTTTTCTTCCCTGAGTTAGAAAATAGTGTTACAGTAGCTGACTTAGTTAACCAAAAGATACCGCATACCTATTTCAGAAGAGTGATGAGTGAAGTTTCTCAACATTCTGATCTTAAGGAAGAGAGACAAGGGGATGCTAAGTGAACTACCTCACTTCATCAGTAGTCTGTGTACATGTATAAAAATACCAAACTGCACTCCATAAATATGTATAAAGGGTCAGTAAGAAAAAGAAAAAAAAAAGACGTGTTTATAGATTTCTCTTTTTTTAAGTGGTGCTAATTAATTTGCCCCTTAACTCTGCACCTTGATCACTAAGCCTGACACATGCTTCTGACCTGGGGGCCTGGAGCATTGGCACCAGGGATCTCACAGGGGGAGAATTTCCTCCTCCAGCCGGGGACCCCAGAGGGCAAAATAGCCCTGGCAGTGAAAATGGCTTCCACAGAGTTCACCCTGGTGACCCTGCCTTTACACCCCCACCTGGCCTCAGGAGTGCCCCTGGAAGCCAGCAGGAGCTCCAGGGGCCCCACTCAGTTGAGCAGACCAAAGTTGGGCCAGAAGAGTTCTGAAAATTAAATTGCAGTTTGGAACTCCAGCCCCCAAAGTAAGCCACCACCTGCCTGCTGCACCTAAACAGAGTGGTTGTCTGCTAAAGGTAAGAGACTAGAATAGGTATAGCTAAATATAATAGCTAAAATGTCCAGGATACAGTAGACCCTCACTCATCTATCAAGAACCAGGAAACTCACAGTGTGAATAAAAGAAAAAAAAAACAATGAACAGACACTGATGCCAAGATGAATCAAGTATCTGACAAGGATTTTAAGGCAACTACCATTAAATGCTCCAAAAAAATTTACAATTCTATGGCCATAAAAAAAAGAATATCAAAGAAATGAAAATTATTTTTTAAAAAACAAACAGAAATGATAGAGTTGAAAAATATGGTAATAGAAACAAAAATCCCTGGCAAGGTCCAACAGAACCCTGGGAGGTGACAGAAGATAGAATCAATCTACTGGAGGACAGGAAGTAGAATTTACCTGATCTAGGAGGAAAGGGGCTTTTTAAAAATAAATAAGGCTGGGGCCAGGGGTTTAGCCCAGTGGTTCCACCGCCTGCCTCGCAAGTGCAAGGTCCCAAGTTCGATCCCCAGTACCAATAAATAAGGCCTCGAACACTGCCTTACTTTAACTTCTTCTGCTTGAACAAAATACCATGGGGACTGAATTAATGATAGCAACAGTTGATTCACCTTGCAGTTCTGGAGGTTGGAAAGTTGGAGGACAGGGTTTTGGCCAGGCCAGCAGCACAGGGGAGACAGAAGAAACTGGTTCAAACTCAGCCTTTTTCATCAGGATCCACCCCTACAGTAACTGACTCACTCTCGGGAGAACAGTGTTCATCTGTTCCAGAGGGCACTGCTCCGGGGCCGCACCTCCAAATATGATAACATTGGGAATTCAGTTTCCCACACTTGACTCTGCCAACCAAAACAAGCAGAGTAACAAAAGATCCTGTAGGAGAGAAGACCAGAGAGGGAATGACAGACCCAAGGAAGTACATAGGAAGTGATGGTTGAAACCAGCCAAATGTGTCCAAAGACACAAGCCTACACATCCAAGAAACTGAGAAAAACCCAGAGAGGATGAACCTAAAGAAACAAAGGGCAAGACACAACTTAATTACGTTTCTGAAAACTAAAGAGAGAGAAAGATTGCCGAAAGCAGCCAGAGAGAAAGGGTGCATTTACTACAGGGATGGGGCATCCATTCAGATGGCAGCAACTGGCTAAACAGTTTCCGATGGTGGAAAATACCAACTTGTCAAGCAGCATATTCTCAATTCAGTGAAACTGTTCTTCAAGAATGAGAAATTAAGATGTTCTCAGACTAAGGTGAACTAAAGAGTTCATCTGTAATAAGACACTCCCCCTCAAAAGGCCAGCTGAAGGAACTTTCCCAACAGAAAGAAAATGACACAGAAAGAAACCTTGGAACATGAGAAAAGAGGAAAGAACAGAAATGTGCATACAATAAACTACCCCCCCATGGGTTTTCTAAATAGTGTTTGATGATTGAAACAAAAATTAGGCCACCATCTGATGTTCAAGGTGATGTTATTTAACAGTGGGGAAGGTAAAAGCTTTCACTCAGAGTGGTAAAGTACTGATACTAGTAAATTACACCAAGTTGTATTATGTATGTTGTAATTCCCAGAGCAGCCACTATGAAAACTGCAGAGATGCACTCAGAAACCTATGAGTCTGGTGATAATTTCGTGACAGCCACTCTGTTTCTTGGGCGGTTTACAGCAAGCTAACTTGCTATGCCAAGACCTTTTCAAAACTATCTGGGTTAATCCCGGCAACACTATTTGACCACTGTATTCATCTTGATCCACAGAAAAGGGAATGGAGGGTTTGAGGTGTTCACACCTTTGTCTAAACTCTTCCCACTAGTGCATGATTGAGCTGGGGTTTGAACCTAGGCCCTCTGGCCACCCTACCTCAGCTCTCTCAGAGTCAGACGAACAGGTGTGTTACCAGGTGAAAGCCACAGCCACAGTTCCCCTAGGCCAGAGTAGTAAGTGAAACTATGTGCAGTCTGTGAAAGCCACTCATTTCCTATAGCTCACCTCTGTAGGAGCAAAGAGACTTTAAATGTACCCAGGACAGGACATTTCCCTGCCAGCAGAATTACAGTTACATAACAGAGGGTAAAAGAAGCATCTGTCTGAACACAGGGCTGACATTTTTCCTGGAGGTAAATCAGGAAGGATGGGATTTTGGCTCCATCTGTCAGCCACTCAGCCATAAATCAAAATGTGGAAAAGTGGACGTGTTGCCAAATACATGACTCATTCTTGAACTGGGCTTCTGTCTGCCATTCCACAGCATTTGAATGCATATTGTCAAAGAGCTGAAAGAGCCAAGAGAGTGTTTCTCTCGTCATCACTGTAATATAGTACTTGGAGGAGATGAAGCCACATCAGCTGGCTTTTAAGAAGAATTAGCAGCAGCACCATGAAAAACTTAAGTACAGGGCAGAGAGCTACCACAAGATATGAGGCTCTGTTGGTAACAGAAATGCATTTTTATAAATTCATTTTATTTTTATTTTTATTTATTTTTAGGTATGCTATGAGACTAAAAACCCACTCAGGTCCCAATGCCACACCAGAGGACAAACAGCTAGCTGCGTTATGGTGAGTGTGTCACCCCAATTTAGGAGGGTGCCCCAGCCCCCCGTGTCACTGGCAAGCCCAGGGCTGGAAGTTCTTCTAGTGCTTTATATCTTACAAGACTCCATGTAATTCTGACAGCCAGGGACGGTCTCAACCATTTCTGTTTTTATTTATTTAATTTTTTTTCTAGTACTGAGGATTGAACCCAGCACCTTCACACTGAGCTAATCACAAGCCCTTGTCTGATTTTTTATGTTGAAACAGGGTTTCAGTAAGTTACCCAGGGTGGGCTCAGACTCTAGATCCTTCTGCCTCAGCCTCCCAGAGTGCTAGGATTACAGGCATGTGCCACCTGGCTCAGCTAGCCCATTTCTTGGTGTCATCCTATGCATGAACTGAAATTCCGCAAGTCCATCATAAGAAGTTTTCTTTTTTCTGTTTGTATCCTGTGTTTTAAAATGAGGAGGTTCCTTGTAATAGTCATTTAAATGTGAATTGTGCCCAGTGGAATTTCTCTTGTGTTTAACACTAAATGCAATCAAAATAATTTATGTGTTGCTTTACATGCCAGATTAGTATGAATAAAGATGATGCATTAAAGTTCTCAATACATTAAACTGAGGAGCAGCTCATTATGCTTTGATGATAAAATCATTTCTTCCAAAATGGTAGCCAACGTATCATAGATTTTCTTTGTATTTACAGTGACAAAGTATGTGCTTTAATAATAATAATTTCCCCATGGTGTCGCTTCAGGACATTTCACCCCATTCCCTAGATCTCAAAACACCTCTCTGTTCCTCCTGTCAAAATATCCAAATTTTTTTGCTCTCCAAAGGCTCATTACACTCTATTATCAATCTACAAGTTAGAGCATCAAATGAGTCTCAAAAAACATAACAACAACCCAGACAAAAGAAGGTCTCAGGTTGCTCTACATCATGGCCTCATCTGGAGTGTGGAGTGTTATGTGGAGACTGCTAGGCTATATTTGGTTTGTTGGCATTCTAGGTAAACAGCCTAAATTTAAATTAGTAAATAATTATAACACGAGTAAAGAATGCCAGTGAGGAGAGGATAAATCTCAGGAAATGCCACCCTATGCCCTTGTCTTTATTGAAGTTCCATATTGAAATTAATAAACGAATGATTTATAGTGATGTTATCAGATTAAATAGAATACTAATGTGTAAGTTGCATTAAAATGTAGAAAATAAATGAAAACTTTCCCCATGTTTTTATTGTTTATAATGCACACCCACTATCTTTTACTTTATTTGAGCAAAGTAATAGCCTAGTAAATGTTAGAACAGATACATAATAAAAACAGGTGAGAGAGGTGCCCTGTCCCAAAGCAGGTAATAATACATCTAAAGAGCAGTGAAAGCTGCGTGCTAGAGCTTCCTGGTACCTCTCATGGAGAGAGACTGCCCTCTGGTGGTTGGAGAAGAAAGTAGCCAGACTTCCCAACAAAGAGATAAAGCTATATCATAAAGGGTGTAGTGATTAATACAGTTTTGGAGTACCTCCTTGGAAGTTTGGATTGTATTTTTTGGACAGAAGGAAGGTTGGATGTTCATGGACATGCATGCATGTAGAAACACTTGAGATACATAAACGTGGACCCTGGAAAGACATGGTGTTTTAAAGCCATGTTTGTGAAGGACACACTCATGCTCTGCCCCACCTTTCTCCTCTGCCGCAGTTACCGATGCCTGGCTCTCCTGTACTGGCGGATGTTTCGACTGAAACGGGACCATGCTGTAAAGTACTCAAAAGCACTCATCGACTATTTCAAGGTACTGTCTGGCAAAGGCACAACACAGCTCCTTGTCCCGAGTTATCTCCCTGTCGGGGCCTCTCTGGGAAGCCTAGTAGAGCCTGCTGCATTGAGGCTAATGCAGGTCACCTCTGGTGTCCGGAGAAACCACATCTATGGCACAGCTCTGGCTTCCAGGACTCAGAGAAAGGGTCCAGAAAGCCTAGCTCGTTCACCCCGCCCCTTCTTGTCTATGTATTTTTACCAGAGAAAGAATATCTAGTTACTCCTCCCAGTGTCCAGGGAAATTCATCTTTACAGCAGACATAACTCCCTCATGTCCACATAGAGCTGCTCTCTCTCTCAGAAATTCCTTAGAGTCATTTCCACTTAGTCTCTAGTAGCTACTTTGATTTTTAATAGAGATATTGTTTAAAATGGTAAGAAATGGCTTAGTAGAGCTCAGAGACACCAGATAACAATATGTAACTAGAAGGATGCAAGCACAGCCTTGGCAGCTTTTGCTTATCTCAGAGAATGAAATTGTTTTCACTGGAAGAATTTTGAATAGAAAAAAAAACACAGTCCTCTGATGCACTGTTGTAAAGTGGACTAGAAGTTTAATCACTTGTTTGACATTTTGGGGTATCGTATTCTGTTTATCTACAGAAACAAGGGATCACAGCATCACTGTCTTCACCACCCCTTTATCAGATATACAGCCAGGCTCTACATCACAGAGACAATCTCTGATGGCCAGGTTGTGTTGGGGGTCCCAAGGGCTATGTGCAGCCTGCTGCCTCCTTCCCAGTTGTGCATGTAGGGGTAGGGTAACAGGTTCTGGACCATTGGCCAACATGTGCCTTAAATACCAAGGACTGGCATGGAACCTTCCCTTTACATATTTTGGGCACCTAAAGTCAAGATGAATCATTTTCACAGATTCTGGATCATAAGAGTTAGCAATAACTAAAGAGTTATTGCAGTCAAGACAAAGGGCTTTTGAATAACGAAGGACACTCAGAACTGAGGGTATAGCTCAGTGGAATAGCACACAGCATCAGTGAGGTCCTGGCTTTGACCCCTGGCACCACAAAAGAAAAAAAAGAAGAAAGCTGAATTATATGAGAACAAGGTACTGCAGCAAAAACATTTAAGAGATTAAAGAAGTTCCTTGGTATACATGTGCAGCCCGTAATCTATGCAGAATGGGTAAAGAAAAGAACCTGAAAGTCAAAGTTTCTCCTACCCTTCATCAATTTTACATTTTTAAATGTACTTTTAATTGATCAATGACAAATTATGTATATTTATGGTATACAATGCTGTTTTGATATATGGTTACGTTGTGGAGTGATTAAATCACCTAATTAACATGTCTAGCACCCCACATGCTCATCATTTTTGTGATGGGAACACTTACAACCTAGCGATTTTCAAGTAGACTTTATGTTATTCTTTTCTTTAGATGAATTTTTCCCCATTGTTTATTGGTACATTTAAAGCAAACGATACAGTTACATTTATCATTGGGATCTTGCACCTTTACATGATATGTCTTGGTTCTTATTTTTCCCCATACCCTAACCCTCCTTTCACCCCTTTCACCCTGCCCTATTTACAAAGACTTTGTTTCCATTTTTTCCTTTTCTCATACTTTTTCTTTTCCCTTATTTCCTTTCTCCATTCTTAATCATAGTCACCATGCTGTATAATTAATCTGGAGAACATATTCCTCCTAACTGAAACTTTATATTCTTAGGTGGCCCTTACTGGGTACAAAGTTTCAAAGGCTACATAAATAAAGCTCAGAGGCTGAAGCCTTCAGGTTACAGTGACCACTCAGCTGTGAAGAGTGTGTTTTACCAGTATGGTGCTGTCTCAGAAAGGGGGACTTGGTGGCTGCCCATATTTTTGGCCAAAGGACTTTCTGACACACCCAAAACTTCTCCCCCTTTGTTTTTTTTACATCTGGAACATCTGTTACATATATCACTTCTTAGAACCTCACATAGATAGAAAATGAAGTGAAACATCCCACAGCCCCCGATGGAGAAAAGTGACAATAATGTTCTGAGTTTCTCTTTTCTAGTTCTCTCCATCAAAATAATGTCATATCCTGAGACAGGTAAAAGTGACATGGTTTGCAATTCTGCCCTGAGCTTACACTTTGCTGTCATGCCTCTGAGTCCTAACAGGCTTTTTTTTTTTTTTTTTTTTTCATTTTTTTTTGTTTTTGCCATTTTGTTACCTCTTGCACTAAAAAAAATCAGTCACCACTTTGTAAAGTTCCTTGTCACCAAAAGATACATGTTGTCTCAAGAAACCAGGCCAACACCATTTCGTGTCTCTAGAAGGGAACATTCACAAGAGCATCACAAAGACTATTTTCCCCCGTAATTGTCCTGCAGACTTCCTGAAAACTTCTTCTGGTTTTTGCTTTATTTTTGTTTGTTCGTTTTGTTTTGTTTGTGGTTCGGGGGATCAAATCCAAGGCCTTGCACATGCTAGGCAAGTGCTCAACCACTGAGCTATCTTCTCCCATCTGGAAAACTTTTAAATGTTTGCAAGCACCTGGCTCGTGCAATATAACATCCAAAGTCAAAATGTCCAAATCAATCAGAATTTTTGAATGTCCTATGTATACGTAAATACATTTTAATCCATCTTTTTAGGAATATTTGAGTGATTCCCTAAAAGAAATAAATGCTTTAAATTTCATAAATTAACACAACAGAATTTGATGACATCTCTTCTCAGGCATTCAATAAAGGCATATATCCACAGTTTCTGCAAATAACCCCTAAAGTTAAATATAAGGTACTCTTAGTATGTAGGGGGAAGGGTGATTCCTGTTCTTTTTTTCTTTTTCAGAAGAAGTACACTCATTTACAGGTTTAAAATTCGACTAGTGTAGGAGTCAGTAGGCTCTCAGGGTTATGATTTAATTTAGTACCTAAAATATGTACATGAAACCCAGAAGCGAGCCTTTCCTCTCAGCCCTCTGCAGGAGCCAATAGCCTTGTGATATTATAAGTTCCCTGACACAGTTTCAGTGCATCTAGAAGCAGAAAGCACTCACTGCACATTCTTGTTTTTCTGCAGAATTCCTCCAAGGCTGCCCAGGCCCCATCTCCTTGGGGGACCAGCGGAAAGTAAGTTCACCTCACCCTGTGCATGGTGCTGTCAGGCCCTCGGGCCGCCCTGCCTCTCCTGCCTCCCTCCCGACCTCTCCACTCTGGTTTTTCTGCCTCTCCCCTTCCAGGAGCACTGGAACCCCATCCCCCATATCTCCCAACCCCTCTCCCACCAGCTCCGTGGGGTCTCAGGGTAGCCTCTCTGGTGCCAGCACCCTGTCCCCATCGACCATCGTCAGCATCCCGCAGCGCATCCACCAAATGGCAGCCAATCATGTCAGCATCACCAACAGCATCCTCCACAGCTACGACTACTGGGAGATGGCCGACAACCTGGCCAAGGAAAACAGAGGTGTGTGGCTGCCTCTGAACCAGGGACAGCCTGGCCTGGGGCATCACTGCTCAGGTGTTCATGGTCTGGGGAGGAGAGGGAGAAGGAGTTGTCGCCTGCTGTGTGAAACCTTTCCTGACCTCTCCCATGGTCACTCAGGATCTTGTGTACCTTCTCCCACCTTTAGCCTTACCATGGATGATCTTGAGTATAGAGATTAGACATAGATACAATACAAGGGCAGGAGTAGGCACAGGTATAGGTGTGTAGGTACAATTACAGGTGTAGGGACAGATAACAGGGTAGGTACATTTATAGGTGCAGGCACAGTTAACACGTGTAGGTATAGGTACAGATGTGTGTATATACAGGCAATAGTATATATAAGGCATAGTTACTTTCTTTTTAAATAATATTCTTCTAATAATAAAAGTAATGCATGTTTGCTGTGGCTAAATTTGTGAAGGACAGAACTATAGAGAAAAGTCATCAGTAATCTTATCACCAAGAAGTAACTGCTACGGACATCCTACCAAAGTTTCTTCTAGCCTCTCTTCCCCAATTCTGCATCATTTTTACAAAACTAAGATCATAATGTACATAGTTTCATATCCTGTTTTATATTTAGCACTAAAATCAAGCATTTTCTCATGTCATTAGTTAGTCTAGAAATATTCTTCATAATGGTTTTATAATACTATCCTAATATAAATATAATGACTGTATAATTATAAAGTATCATTTCTCAAACTATTCCCCCATTGCTAGACATTTAGGTTACTTCCCATTTTTTTCCACCATGATCGTGTCCTTTGTATAAGTTTTTGTCCATATTCTGGTTATTTCCTTAGGAAGCCTAGTAGAACAGGTACAGATTTTTTCAAATATTGTTACATATTTGATATCTATTGTTATCTTTTCTATGTAGAAGTAGAACAGGTACAGATTTTTTCAAATATTGTTACATATTTGATATCTATTGTTATCTTTTCTCCCAAAAAGTTATACCAATGTACTACTTTCCCTTTGGCAACAGGTAAGAGTGAAAATCTGGGTTCATTTTCAGGCCATAGATGAAAATTATGTTTCTATGACAACCTAGGACAAAAGCGGGATGTCCACGCTGTGAGGGGATGGGGTGGCACAGGGTAGTCCTGAGTGCAGGAAACCGTTAAGAAAATGAGGCTCAGTACATAGAGTGCAGCCCACAGGTAGTGATCCCATAGGAATGTCACTGAGGTCCAGGGACATGGAAGCTGACATAGAACAGTTTGGAAAACTGCACAGCACTTGCGTGGCTGGAGTGGCACAGATCTGTGTCCCAAGTGGGCAAATGTGTAGAAATATGCATGTCCAGTTTGCAAGACCTCACAAAAACCAGGCTTCCTGTGGTGCTGCCAGCCACCTACTAGATTTGCCCTGCTGAAGGCCTCAGTGTCACAGGTCCAGTGGGAACTCTACTGTGTTCCCTCAGCCCAGCCTGCTTCTGCACCTTGAGTCCTCTTCCTGGCCACTTTCCAGTAACGTGCATCTTCCTTGACCCCTTCTCGCCCTGGCAGGGCTTTAGGGTGTCTGTAAGCACTGTGGGAAAACTGGTCTAGAGACTTATTTCCAAGGAGTAATGCAACTATGACAGCAGTGGCATGTGAATACATTTGTCTCCATCAGCGTGAAACTGGGATGTGACGAGAGCAGAGCTCACACGTGACCATCTTGATTTCCTCCCTTTTCGCTACCCTTTGCATGTAGCAGAGTCCTGGGTGCATGGTAAATGTTCAAGGAAGGGGCAAGCCCAGAGAGGGCCCAAAGGTTAACTGGTGACTTCAGTAGAAATTTCTCAAAATCCAGCTGATTGTCCCACAGCATCCCAGAGCCGACTCCCTGGACTCACTCCAGAGGTTCAGTACTGACTCCAGAGTAAGGGATGGCCAAGTCACACTACCCTTCAGAATGGGAACCATTGTTGTACTAGGGAAATGCAGCCTGAGTACATGGATTTCCTTTGCTGTTTGGCTACTTGAGTTAGAAATGGGAGATACGGCTTGCTCTCATTCATTCCTTTGGCTGTAGGATGAGTCCCCTACGCTTAGGTTGTATTTTTTTCAAGGGCATGCTGAAGTCATGAGGGAACAGAGAACCCTTGGTTTATACAGAGACCATGAGTGGAATTCTTTCTGAGGCCACTCAGGTCCTGAGTTAGGGTGGCACACCTAGCAGATGTGGCACTCTTAACGACTCTCTCTGTCCCCTAGAATTCTTCAACGACCTGGATTTGCTCATGGGGCCCGTCACCCTGCACAGCAGCATGGAGCACCTAGTCCAGTACTCCCAGCAGGGTCTGCACTGGCTGCGGAACAGCACCCACCTGTCATAGGGACCTCACCCTTGAGCTAGCTTGTGCTCTTGTCTCCATGGACTGCTCCCAAGTTTTTGGACACTGTGCTACTGAAATTCCCAGCCACAGAATTTACCAGACTGCGGTGAACATTTCCTCGGCATCAGACAATGACCTTTTCCCAGGGCATGTGTGTTCATGTGTGTGGGTGTATACCACGCTGCCTGTGTATGTGTGTAAAACACACAGCTCTTCAGCACACATTTTATTTGTCTAGTTTCCATAACCTCAGGCTAGACAGAGTGACCAGAGGTTCCTGATTAGAGAAAATACACACGTGCACCCACACACACATTCACAGACACATTCTTTCTATTCCAGTGCTACACCATGACTTCTTAGAAAAATTCAACCAAAATCTCTTGGGTTAGTCAACAAGGTGCAGTACAGCACACCAAAAGCTTAACTGCCAGTTAAGATGAACCCTAGCTCTTATATTATTGATTACTTTGAGTATTAATATACTATTCCCTAATTATTTTTGACTGGTGTGTATTAATGGATAATTGATCATGAAAACAAGTCAGTTATTTTTGTGCCAGAAGTTTATTAGATTACATGTTACCAAATGCCCTGCCCTTCCTCTTATCCTCTCTCCTCCATCCGACATTATTGTCAGTTAAACACATTCCAAGCACATGGTCTGATTCCCACAAGCCCTCTTTGCCCCACCCCCATATTGTTTGAAAATGGTACCCAGATTTGGTAAAAACTCAGTGTCTTTGAAATTTAACACACATGAAAGTGTCAATGACTATGTTTCTGAGCTCCATTAGGAATTGAAGTCTGTACCTGTGACGGGTTCCCCAGGGCCATGCATTTCCTCCTCCTGCCACTGTGACCCACATGGCTTTTGTCGGCCAATATGTTTCAAGTCTCTTCTTTCCACGGTAGCTTTCTTACAAACTTTCTTGGCCAAATAAGGACATTACCCGAAATGTTCCTTCACTAGGAGCCTAGCTGTTGCTTCTCAGTCTGAGAGCTATTTATGATCACAATGCTGTCTGATTCTCACGCTTCACACAGAATGTGCCTCTGCAGGCCTTTGGGGCATTATGATTTGGGGGATATTTTTCAGGCTTTGTTTAGCAAGCTGCTTACAGTTATTCCTGCAAGGATTGCTATTCTATTTGCAGTAGCAATGACCAGAGCATCTTGCTTATATCTTGCGCATCTCTTATGTTTACGTCTTACTATGGTTCTTTTCCTTTCCTTTGTTTGTCTGTTTGTTTTAAGTTTACATTTTAGTTTTTGATATCTTGTTTACAGTGTTTGTCTGAACTTTATTTTATGGTGTTTGGTTATGCCCTAGTGTTAGTTTTCTTGTTAAATATATTTGGATATGAAATATTGGTAAACCTCCCAAAAGATAAGGGACTCTCTTGCCATATTTTGAAAACATAAAATAGTGTCTTTGACTTACTTGACATAATTGTACTGGGTTGGTTTGAGAGACAGGTGAGGCAGTCTGTGGAATGAGCCCTGTTCATGGTGATAGTGGCACAGGATATATTAGATAGATGCTAAAATATGTCTTCACTGATCTTATGGATTTGGTTTCCATGTTAACATTTTTGTCAGTCTGACCCATAGGTGGGAAATAAGACTGTTGTAATTCCCAAGCACTAAGCATTGCTTCAAAAATGTACAAAAGATCGAACAACTTTGGTGATTTGAAATTAATTGACAATGAGCAAGTGAAATTTGCATCAGTCTTTGAGCTTCAGGCACTTGAAAATAGTAAGAGTACAAGTTTGAGTATCCTTTATCCAAAATACTTGGGACTAGAAGTATTTTAGATTTCACATTTTAGAATAATCACATGTACATAATGAGACATCCTGGGATTGAGACCCAAGCCTAAACATGAAGTTCATTTCTGTTTCAAATACACTTTATACACATAGTCTAAGGCAGTGGGGGGAACCTATGAAATGCTGTTTGATATCATTGAACGCTCTAACAGGTTCACCATCACTGGCCTAAGGTATCAGTCTTACACAGTACTCTTAGTGCACTTGTTGTTTTGTCTGTGACAGCCACATGTGGTCAGGGATACAATTTGCCACTTACAGCATCATATTGATGTTCAAAACATTTTAGATTTTAGAGTACTTTGGATTTGGGATTTTTATGTTAGGGATGCTTAGCTTGTATTTCCATTTCATATTTATCCATATAAGTTGTTTCTTACATCCATTTCACTAATAGTTGGCAGAGTTCATGATCCCATCCGATGATGGAATTTTGAATCTAACTTTTAAAATTTTGAACAATTTTCTTTTCTCCAGGACTGAGAGTGTGTTCTACTTATTCATGGTGAATTCTGATGAAAAGTTTCAACTGTCACTTAAAGGGATGACCCTTGGGGTCTGCCATGCTTCCCCAGGGAGCTTTCCTGGTCTTGTCCACCTTTAAAGTTGCAAGCCTTATAAAGCACTGTGTGTGGGCTTCCCCAGAAGCCCCATCTCATGGTGCACATGGCCTCTAGCTAGTTGTGCTGGCATTGTTTCATCAAGATGCTGACCACCAAGGTTTTCCAACAAAACCTTTAGAAACTGGTCATTTTGGGGGACAGTAAGAGCGTGCAGGACCTGTCAGTGCCTCCCGTTCATCTGTAGAGCATGTCAGGGCAGCAGTTGGGTGTAGATGATATTGGTAAGAAACCATCTTGTAATTGTTGCTTGTGGAAGTCATTCATAACTTGTCCCCCCCCCCTTTTTTTTTTTTAGTTTGGTTCCAAGTTGAAACATCTTTCTTGTGTTTTCATAGTATAAAAGTGATACCTTTTCATTGTAAAAATTCAAACAATGCCGAAGTGTAGAAAGTAGGAAGTGTAAGTCTAAATGTCTGAAACAACCACAGCTCACAGTCTGATGTACTGTCCTTCCACAAATTCTTGAATTTAAACATGTAGCATTTATTACCATTTCTTTGTATTTAAAGACATATTTCCTCAGAAGTTCAACACAAGTTCAACTGATCTTATCTGTCATGACCTAAATGGAAACCATCCTTTATCACTTTGCTAGAATTATCTTTGAAAGAGAGTAGCTCAAATATATTCTTGATCAGACTTTGGCATCAGTTACTACTCTACACAGATCAGGCTCATGTGCAGAATTGTGCCTGGAGAGAGAGGTCTGGTTAAAACAGATACTTCTGGAAACTTTCAAATTGCAAATGGAAACTTGGACCCACTGTTTAAAGAGGAACGTACTGGAAAAAATAATCTGAAGAGTTGACAAATTGTGTACTAGATTGAACTATGGAATGCAATGCAATGAGACTTTCTGCACTAAAACTTATCCTAATATGTACAACAATGTTGTGTGTATTATATAACAGTGATGTGTACATTTCTGACACCCCATACATGATATACACAGTTTGTACAAATGCATACATTTAAAAATATATATGTACAATACAGCTAACATAAAACTGTAGTACGCCTGACGGATATTACTAGTGCCTAATATGGAGTGTAAGTCACTGCGTGTTCACATCACCTTGGAAGTGCAGTCATTGTTATAAAATTAATCAGTGCAGCCAACATTATGAACCACATCTTTGAAACTGTGCAGTAGCATATACATATATATTTTTAAATAACATTTTTCACAGTTTTCCAGAGTTACTGTTGAAATCTGTATCACCAAAAAAAGCAAGATTTTTTTAATGATGTAGACACTCTTCAGACCCAGTTATCTGCGTGTGATTTCCTGTTTGTAGATACCGAAGAGACTTCAGCGGTCAACAGCCTTAACGCATGTACAGGATATTATTGTGACTTAATTTATCTGCAGTTTTTAATCCATGTGAAATTGGAATTTATAAACGGACTTGGATTAAATATGTCTGCCTTTCTAAGGTTGCAAGCGTTACATTAAATGATCTATGTTATACATGAGAAAAATCAAGTTGTACGTAAAAAAAATGTCCAACCATTTCTGTGAATATTTTTATGAGAAAACGTTAGAATTGAAATATGTTCATCAATGTTCTGGATCCAGCTCATAATCTCTTTAAAAGCAACCTCCTTGTTTCATGGATGTTTTCAGTGTGACTCCCACAGATTAATATTGCCAAGTCTGATACTGTTCATGGGAAAAAATACACATGTCTCTATTGTGACACCATAGTTTACTACTTATCTTTCCCATATCTGATACTGTACAATATGTTACATATGTGTGTGTGCACACAGGTAAGGACTCTCCAAAGGACACCTGTTCAGACAGTAGCCCTGGGACACTTCAGCTCAACATCTTTTCAAGTCACACTTACTCCTCCCTCACTTGTGTGCCAGGCTTTTCCAACTCAAACCAATGTGGTAGAATTGTGCTTGCAACATTTGGTTAAGTAAAACGAGTAAATTCTGAACTCAAGATGGAACCATTAGAGCAGTGGCTAGACTTGAATGGCTGCTAGGTGGGAGAGGTTTTATTAACCTCATTTTCCCTCTTCCCTTCTTCCCTTTTCCTTCTCCCCAAACTAAATTAAAGAAGCAGAAATAACCACAAAAACAAAACAACTACTTCACCTTATCCAGACCATATCCCTAAGTTGCAATACCACCTTGTCTTTTTCCCCACTACACTGTCTTGCACAAGTCACATGTTAGAGGGAAAACTTGGGAAGGGTTTGCTTCTGGGCAGACAGATCAGTTGAGTCCTCATCAGCCCAGCAGAGTGCAACAGGACTCTGGGCTCGGGTCATCCAGGAGGCTGCCTCTTCCCACAGACAAGAGACCTGGCATTGTCACTTCGAGGACACTGAGCCCAATGTGCTTTCAGGTTGGGCAAGAAGCACTCTGCACTGTTTTTCTCTTAGGCAGCTTTGCCAGCTACATGGCTGACATCTATTTTTAAGAAGTATCACATTGTCCATGAAACTTGGATCAACTGCAGTCTTGAAAGATGGTTTTAATAGAACAAAAATTAAAACAACCCCATACACCACATCTCCAACTATTTGGAGCCGGAGTTTCTTTCCTCGTTTGCCCATTCCCAGAAGAGCAAATCCTGATGAATAGCACAAGAAAACATTCCCATGTGAGATGTGTGTCCTCTTTGTCCAAATTACTCTGTCAGAGGGGTTAACTTGTTTGTTTAGCATGAGAAAAATTATAAATCTCTGTTCTCTAATTGCATCTGACCACAGTCTTGGTTTTTATTATTTAATTGGCACTCAGAGGCAGCAGGAGGTAAATTCTGGGCTGGCTGCAAGGAGATTTAGACTCACAGTTCTTACACTAATGGGAGTCAGGGGATTAAACCTCTATTCGTTACTTGGAAAATCCACCTCTTGAAGCCAATTTTAAGGACATTGATCTGAAGAATAAATTAAATCACTAATTGCAAGTACGCAAAGATCAGCGTTTGTCTCCAAATATCAGGAAGCACTGATGAGGCCTGAGAAGCTGAATCAAGTCCTTGTTTTCTACCCAGTTTTAAAATAGGAAAAGTTCATCAAGAAATCTTTTATCCAGGGCTGGGGATTTAGCTCAGCGGTTTGGTGGCCTATCTTGCAAGCGCAAAGACCCGAGTTCAATCCCGGTACCAAAAAAATAAAAAAAGAAAGAAAGAAATCTTTTATCCAGCCAGATGTGGAGGCTCATGCCTATAATCCTAGCTACTCATGAGGCTGAGGCAGAAGGATCACGAGTTCAAGGCCAGCCTGGACAACTTAGCAAGACTTCCCCTCAAAATAAGAGCCGTGGAATGTAGCTGAGTGCAGAGGCCTTGGATTCAATTATTAGTATCAGAAAGAAAAAGGAGGGGAAGGAAGTAAAAAGAATATTTTATCCAGATATGTAAAATATCACCTGTGCTTAGGATTTTCAAATAATGTTTAGTTAAAAAAATAATTATGCTGGGTTCCTTACTGTTCTTCATTGCTGTTTAAATTTTTCAAAAAACTTATCTCCCCAATGTTTAATGATCTCTTTGTTTATAGGTATCTAAATGAGCAAAGAAAAAAATCTTTAACACTGAGAAACATTCATTACTTGAGTTAAGCATATTCTATCCACAGTTGCCAAAGGTATTTGATCATTCCTTCTCTCTCTCTCTCTCTCTCTCTCTCTCTCTCACTCTCTCTCTCCTGTGCTGGAGCTTGAACCAAGTGTCCTTCAGATGCTAGATGAGCACTCTACCACTGAGCTACTCCTCAGCCCATATTTTGATTTTTATTTTGAGACAGAGTCTCACTAAATTGCCCAGACTGGCCTTGAACTTGTGACCCACCCACTGTTCCCTTCAGAGTAGCTGGGATGACAGGCATGTGTCACCACATACTGTGGTATTTAACTTTTTTAATAACATTTTTTGAGTCTCCTCTGTTACTTTCACTGAATAGCATGAGTGTCTAGAGTTCAGATGTCAGTAATGAATGCTAAGCTTAGAATCTGATCTTTAGTTATAGAAACATTCAGAGCATCGTCTGCTGTCACTGAGGCCCTTTACATGATGAACTGCAAAAATTACAAAACTGGCACTTTCCTTGAGTAACCTGAAGGTGGTTATTATGCATCCTAAAGTTCTTAAAGCTTCCAATTTGACACAAAAATGTCCTCTGTGACCTGCACTGATTTTTGTCATCCATCGGTTGTTCTGGTAGTGTTTCCTTCTGATTTGTTGTTGTTTGTTGTTTGCTTTTTGAAGCAGGGTCTTGCTTTGTAGAACAGGCTGGCCTTGAACTCACTATGTACCTCACGCTGGCCTTGAAATTGCAACAATCCTCCTACCTCAATCTCTCAAGTGCTGGGGTTCCAGTCATGCACCACCACCATCAGCTTCCTTCTAAATTCTTTAAGCCAGATTTAATATGTTGACCCTTTGGTGCAATGGTTCCTAGAAATAGTAGGGCTTGCGGAAATACAGCTTCAGTGGAGGAACTCACTGGTGTTGGGAAAGATCCATGGGGAACATTAATCAGGTCTTCTCCTTTGCCATGCATTATGAGCTCTGGGCCTCAGTTTCCTCTGTGAGGATCAACAGGTTTGGGCAATTATTTTGAGATCCCTGTTGTCACACTCAGTGGAATTTAAGCATTACTGTAGGATCAGAGGCAAAAGAAATATACTACCTCTGTGGGAGATCTAGATCAGACAGCAGGGCAGTCAGCTCCTACCCTGTGGGAGGCAGAAGCACCCAGGACAGGTGATGGAGAAGGAGCCCTTCCTGGCTGGAGCAGCGCCCTGACAGATCCGTGGGATGGGCAGCAGACCCACCTTCTCTTTCTCATTCAGCCCTGGCCTTCAGAAATCACTGTGCACCAGATGGAAAGGGAATAAGCAACATTGGGTCCAAGCTTCCAGGTTTGCCATCTTCCCTGGTGAGGAATTTTGCCTGCTGAGCACCATGCTTCTGAGGTCACCATAGAGCCAGTGGTCTGCAGCACAGTTTCCTTTGGGGACCAAGAGGCTGTGTTCTCTGTGTGAACCTTGTACCTCCGGGGCTAATTATTGGTAGGTGGGGACAGAATAGAGGACAGCTGCTCTGGGAGTGCTGTCCCTGAGAAAGGAGATATGTCACGGGGGACTTGGGGATCGTGCATAAGCTCCAGGAAAGAGGAAACCTCTCTTGGGAAAATGAATGATTTTTCTTCTCTAGTGGGTTCTGTTGCCTCAACATGATCACCTAATTGTAGGTAAAACTTAGGGTACCAGGAAGAAGGATCATTGACATCCACAAAAACTCACTGATTTTTGTGATTCCCCAACTAGACAAAGACTAGATATCTAGACAGTCAGATCTGGATGTGTCATTCCACTAGAACCAAAGCCCTGACATGTTTAGTTCTTATCTACTATTTATATTGTTTACATACAGGGCTGATGCATCTTCTCTGTATCCCTAAATCAATGCTTTGAGCTGAATCATGATAATTATGAAATATTCATTCAAAGGAGCCCCCTCTTGTCATACGCACTGACAGTCTCTCTTTGAGACTTCCCTAATAGAAAGGTACAATAGCCAAAGGTCTTCAGAGAGCCAGCCTGATTTAAGCCTACATCAATATTAACACCCTTTTCACAGTACACAAGACTTTGGCCTGTAAGAATTCTGGGTATTTTTTGATATAGAAAAAAAAAATTCTAGGCAGCAATCCATGCCCATTAGCAGAAGGAGCTACACCACACACCTAGATTTCACCTTTTCTTAGGCAAAAATAAATATTCTTGTGACAGCATAATAGTTACTTGCTTTTATGGTTTTGCAAAAATTTAAAGTCACTTCCATGAAGTCTGTTCAGTCAGTGAAGGAATTTTAAAATCTGCCCCTTTGCCTGTGCTATGTCATCTTGGAGGGCTATCTGTGGATCTGACAACTCAAATTCAGCATTCCAATATCAGAGGCCTAGTGTATCATGCCACAAGCCATTTCAAATTCTGCACTGTGGTCTTGGGAGGCTGGTAGCAGTTTGGGAGCCTGTTTATCTTTGTAAGATTTTGCCAGTGATCTGGCTTTAGCAGCCCAAAGAACAAATTATAGCATCTTCACCCACTCCTCCTATGGGAATCAAGCTTAGAATGGTTTCAAGGAAGGAAGGGGATTTTAAGTAAGACAATTCTGTACAGTCATTTCAGTTGTAAAAATGCATATATCGCAACAGTGACGAACACACTGCATTTCTTAGGTCTGATGCCATTTCCGTATTTTGTCTGGTTATTCCATATTGAAATAGCTTGAGTTTGTTTTGGTTATGTGATATTCATCTGGGGCTTCATGTTAATGGGTTTGGATATGGTTATGGAGAAAGCCCAGAATCTGTATTGATCCTATATTAATCCAAGTAGAAACAGCGATTCTATTCGGCATCGACATTACAAACACTATACAGATTCAGTTGTGTGTTGTTGTTTGTGTCAATATGTGATAAAAATCTTAACCAAAGCAATTAATGAAGATTATTAGTACCTGGGTTAAACCTCCAGCACCACTCAGAAAAAGAAAAAAAAATAGACTGGTGGCCTTAGTGAGGGTCATGTATTTCCCAAAATTCATGCATACTTATTTGAAGGAAATTCCAGTGGCTCCCTACTCAGTAAGTCTGAGCTCCAATTCCTGGACTGGAGTCTCATCTCTGAGGCTGCTACTAAGATGTCCACACACTTGAGCCTAAAGTCTTCACGTTAGTGGTTTCTTGGATCTACACGAGACAGTGCAAATGCTAAGGTCCCTTTCTCTTTCTCGCAGAAGAATAAACGTTCCCACACAGCTGAATTTGTTGTACTGCAAATAAACAAAACTCCACACTCACGTCCTGAGTAATTTAATAGTGAATTATTCTGGCAAAATATGAGAAGGAAACCTCATCTAATGTTAAGAATTTGCATGGAGGGATCATGTATTTTGTCTGAGTCTAAAATTTATAGGTCCAAAAAGGATGGAATTGTTGACCACATATTTTAGTTTTTGGAGATTTTTCTGTTCCAGCAGCACAGTTTCTAGATTGGAGAAGCCTCTTACTATAACAGAATGAATGGGCCTTAAGAATTTGTAGGAATAAGCACTTTGATATTTAAAGGGTAAATCATCAGCAAAGGTACTTTTTTAAATGTCTAAGTAAACCTTGAAGTGAACATCATTCTGTCTCAAAATATCCTAGTGTTTCTTCTTGGAACTTATTTTAAAATAAGTTATCCTTTCTTGTGTCTTACAGCATTTGGTTTTAAATATAATCAGCCAAGCTGGGCCAGGAAAAGTGGCACAGGCCTGTAATCCCAGCATTCAGGGGAGGCTGAGGCATGAGGATCACAAGTTTAAGCATAGCCTTGACAACTTAGACCGTGTCTCAAAATAAGAAAAGGCTGAGGATATAGCTCAGTGTGAAAGTCCTAGGTTCAATCCCCAATACTGTAAGTATATATAATATCAAGAGAGACTATTATAGCCAGGGATTTAGCTCAGTGCCACCACTTGCCTCATAAGCACAAGGTCCTCCTGAGTTCAATCCCTGGTACCAAAAAAAAAAAATAATAATAATAATAATATTATATATATATTTCTAAGAGACCAAAAATGTAAGAAGAAACTGCAGCACTATCTTCCAACTTCTGAGGAAAGTATTCCTGAATTAGAATTATCTTAAAAGCTTTGATTCTCCTGCTCATTTCCAGAGCTTTTTATTTGAGGCATCAAATTTTCCATT